CTTCGGGCTCTCCCTCGTGTACTTCCTCGGCAGCACCCTCAAGCAGGTCAGTGCCCTCCCGGAGCCCCCGACCCGGCTGGGAACAGCCCCCGGCCCGGGGAACGCGTGTTCTGCGAGGGCTGGCACTGACCTCCGGGGACAGAATTGCATCTTAGTTGTTAAAGAAGAGTTACAGAAACCCCTGTCTGAGACTGTGTTTGACGGCAGTGGTGTTTGAAACCAAAACTGGGGCGGGGGGGCAAATAATCTTGAAGGCACTCGATTGCTCTGTTGTAATGTCTCTTGTGAACCGTAATTCCACCAGCGAGGGGCTTGCAAAGGGGAAACGTGTGTACCTGTGGTTGTTTAGTAGAACACATGCTACTTCTGTGGCTGCCAGAACCGAGGTCAGCTGCGCTAGCAGGTCCTGCGGTGAGGTTGCCTACCCCCGTTTTACTGGATTGCATTGCTTCCATGCTGTGTGTAGCAAAAAGCAAGCTACTGCAAGTAATGTGTTGCTCACACCACTGGTGTCTGAATTTACAACTACTAGGCGCGTTTAGCTGTGGGAAAAGCACGTGGGTGGGAACGGCAGAAGGAACTTGTATGTTGGGGTGCATTGCTGCCTTTCCTTGCAGGAAGAGAGGACGGTGAGAGATCGGAATCTCCTCCAGGTGCAAGAGCATGAGCAGCCGATTGTGTGGAAGGTGAAGTTCAGTTCGGGAAACGGCAGTCAGCTGAGTAACCAGTGCAGGAATTCTGTGCAGGGGAAGCTCCTCATTACAGATGAACTGGGTATACTTGCTACTAAGAATTTATTCTGCATATCGCAGTGTTGAATGCCGCTTTGCCTGTCTGATTGCTGATGGCACTTCCAAGTAAGGACTGCCCTTTATTAAGGCATTCTCACTGTGGAACCTCAGCTGTTGGCATTTTCTCCTCAGACTGGGTTAATTTTGCTGTGGCTGCAGATGCTGCTGATCTGATTCTGCGCACTGAGCTGGGTCCAGCTGGACCCAAGCCTGCTGTGCTAATGCTGTGGCAGTCCAGTTTCCATAACGACATACATTGTGGCTCTATACTACTAAAGATTCTGCTCAACATACACTGTGGTTCTATACCATT